CGCTCCGACCTTCCTAGATCACGCGGCCGGGATATCGGGCCCCTTGCTGTACCGTTAGACATCCCTAGTCCGTGGCTGCAGGACGCACCTCACCCCGTATGTTCCTGCCTGCGTTACTTGTTGTTGGTCCTTCGAGCAGGGCTGGGTTGGACCGTACTGTTGGCCTGGCCTGTCTAGTTTCCCATGACCAGAAGTAACACATGTTTAATGCTCCCCAGGAAGGATCACGGGCCCTCAGGTGGCACCAAGTCCTGTTTTGCTTACTGCATTGTGCAATGGCCATGCATTCGGCACCATTAGCAAAAGATACTTATGACCAGAAAAGCAAAGGTGTTGCAAAATGTAAGTTCCTTGGCTGTGTCCATGTAGGGCTAGGAGGGCTGCTAGGAGGCGGGACCGAGAAGCGTGGATATTGCTGTGGGGCATCTACACGGCACTTCCCCTCGTCCCTGCCACTGCCGTCAAATTAACGTGCACTTAAAAGATGAGACACCTGATGAAGAGTCCCTCTCTTCCTTCCCCAATGCATTTAGCCCCAGTAGTGAAAATCAATGGTGTGTTGCTTGGCTCACAAGGGACCTGGATTCATTTTTGATCGCAGCGGGGACGTGAAAGGAAAAAGGGAACTCCTTTGGGATGGTGGAAGGACCCAAAAAGAGAAAAAGATTGAGAACAGCATGCACAACAGAAAATGAGAGGAGGGAAGGAGGAACAGAAAAGGCTAAAGGGGAAATAATTAGAGTAATACAAGCAGCAAAACAAATGCTGTGTTGAGCGGCAGGGCCTGGATCCCGGTTGCCAGAGGAGAGCGGTGTGGGCTGCAGTCTCGGACTGACCATTATCGCTCTGGTCCCTAGGTTTCGTGATGCCTCACCTCTTCTCTCTTGGCCCCCCCTGTCCTGTGCAATGTTGCTATCGAGATGAACATGATCGATGCATTTGGCCCTTGGTCCATACGTGTCTCGTGCTGTGAAGAGGGCATCCAGCCCTGCCCGTGCTCAGGGGGAGACGTCTCATGAACCACCCAGGAGCTGCAGGAGGAGAGGTTGACTGACTGTTTTGCGAGGCGGTGTTTTCCACGTTTGAGATAACCCCTCGGTGTGGGGCCACGGGGTGCTGTGCTGCTTGTCCGAGCGGACCCGCAGCCCTCGGAGCGGGGCTGGGTGCAAGTGTGAGGCCCCGTTAGCCAAAGGGCCGAGGGGCGTCCTCGCTTCTGGGGGGCTGGGAACAGCGCCGCGGAGTTGTCCCCTCTGGTCCTCTGGGACTTTATCCCCTGAAGGACCTCCGTCGTTCGCTCATCGTTACGGTTTCGTTTGTCAGTTTTGGGGGGATGTGGGATGACGAGGAGGCCAGATCTCTTTGTTTTTTTGGTGAACGTGTTGTTTCTGGTTCCATAAATTTTGGTGCTGGGAGCACCAGGTCCCAGGCCTGGTGCACGATGCGGTTCGTGCCCCCAGCTCCCCCCGCCTAGCAGTCAGTTTCCTTTCTGGCTGTGTGAGAAGACCTGCCTTTCACTTCTTACTTTCAGAATGATGCTGCGAGCTGGTAAGACGAGACCGAGAAGCAGAGCGGGTGTGGGAAGGTGACTAGGTTCACTGTGCCTGGCTGCCTCCGGGGCTTGTTGCTGGTATGAGCTGTGCTAGGGGCTACCAGCCCTCTCTGGGTGTTTATATATATAACTATATATAGTATCTATCCATCTATCAATCAAGCAATTGATAGGTAGATATATATGGATATCTATCTATCTCTATCCATATCCATATCTCATTTGAGTCCCGTTTCTCTTTTTGGGGTTTTTTGTTGTTCTCCCGCCCTGGTGGGGGGTCGGGCTAGAAGATCTACTAGGTCCCTTCCGACCCTTAATCTATGAATCTATGAATCTATCTATAATCTATATATCTATATATAGGTAGATATCTAGATAGATAGACAGATATCCATATCTATTTATATCTATAATTTATATATCTATATCTATATAGATAGATATACATACATACATACATACATACATACATACATACATATCTATATCTATACATATATAGGTATAGATAGATATAGATAATGTATATCTGTCTCTACCTAGATAGAGATATACATTCTCTGTAACTATATATGCATATCTATATCTCTCTATATCTATCTATATCCAGCTATCTAGATATAGATATATATATAGATATACTTATCTATCTAGCTAGATAGATATAGGTATACAGTATTTATCTAGATAGATGGATAGATATAGGTATACAGTATCTATCTATCGGGCTTTCACCTAGTGCAGCGTGCTGCTCAAAGCAGTCTTGTCCCTGCCTTAAACCATCCCAGACACAAGTTTGTCTCCCCCGCTTGTAACAGCTTGCAGTGGCAGAGATTTCACCGTCTTTCCTGGTGCCCCGTTCCAGGGCTTAGCAGGTCTCCACATGCAAAAGCGTATTTCATTTTGTATTTCATACCCTCTCCATTCAAAAGTTCGCCTGACTACCTCACCTATTTCTCCCATCACTTCTTGTCTGCTCCCCAGTAGAAATAGAAAACGGTGGATCACCATCTCTGTTCACCCGCCCTTTTAGCGTTTGAAAAGTGTTACTAAATTCCGCCCTCTTTTCCTTTCTTCCCTAGATTAAGTAGTGCCCATTTCTTTTCAACCCTTCCTCCTCTCTCCGTTTTTTAGGCCTGGATCAGCTGCCCTGCCAGGCTTTATTTCTCTATCCGCGGAGGTCCTGGTGTTAACGTGGTGCTTTCCCCACTGGAAGCATTATGGTGGAAGTGGCTCTGGGCCGAGGGGGAGATCCAGAAAGCTTGCATCCAAAATGGGACCTCAGCTGCCACAAGCCATGACATGGGCTGACCACTGAGCTGTGGGGATGCTGCGGACAGCCTGGTAATCTGGGACTCTCACATTACCCATTGGCTTGACTTTATTCTCAAACGGCAAATCACTGAGTTGAGACAGGCCCGGGCTCCCTCCTGCACTCTCTGTCCCTCTCTCTGCCCCCTATGACCCATGATTTACCCTCTGCCGTTTCTTCTCCTCGGTGGCCAGGGTGAGTCAGAATAGCTCAGGTCTGAAAACTTGACCTACCTGGTGCTATTTATGGGGAAATAGATGAAGATGCAACGTCTAGAAGCATCAGATGGTGACAGGCTTAAATCAGCTTCCAGATGCGTCGCCTTCCTGTTCGAAGATTTCCTATCACGCTTGGAGCTGTCTGCAGAAGTTGCCTTTTCTTTTCTTTTCTTTTCTTTTTTTGCAATGTGAGAAGCTCGCACACGGCAGCTCTAAACTTTGCAATCCCAAGAATATGCCGAGTTGGCAGGCAGGCCGTCTGGTGCGGCAGCTGAGTTCTCCAGCAGCACCAGCGAGGAGATGCTTGGTTTCCAGTCCAGGGGTAGATGGCAGAGGTGGCGGTAGCAGCTGCCCGCTCACTTTCAGCTTGGAAGGGCTGCCCTTTAGCAGGCGACGTGCAACTGCTGTTCCTGGCTCCAGAAAAGGCCGCCTCGGGAGACGTTCAAGCAGATTTCCCGCGTGCACGGCCACGGGGCCTCTGCCTGGGTCGGGGTAGTTAGCTGTATCGCCACAGGGCTCGGTAATGATTTCCCTCTCCTGGAAGCCTTTGCACCCACTCACTCTGCTGCCCCTTTGCACTGATTAATATGTTCATTTGCAGGGAGATTGCGGCTGGCCGTGTGTGCCAGCTCCATCGGAAGGTGCTTGCAGCTGCAGCTAGAAAGAGCTTTCTTTGCAAACCCAGCAGCGACTCCGGTGTGTCTCGTTGCTCACAGCTGGAAACGCTTTTTACACAACAGCAATTGGAGGATGCCATCCCCGGCCCCACGCTCCTCTTTGCACGCCGATCCTTCTCCGTGCATTGAGAGCCTCCCTGAGCAGAGTCTCTGGAGCCTGCTGCCAGCTTCAGTCCTTCTAACCTAAATGGGGGGAGTGTGAAACACCAGCAACAGGGCACATGGTGCAACTAATGACGCCTTCCATCTTCACTAGAGTGGATGACAGGGAATTAGTGAAGGGATACAGGGCTTTCGCTGCCTCGCTGCAGCTCCTGTTCAGTTTAGGGGGGATAATGACTTTAATAGTTGCCATCTCGTGGCTGTCCAAAAGCCAGTGCAAAGTGCGTTTGTTCATCGCAGCGGAGCCCCTGATGAACTGGGTACCATTTTTCAAATGTCCCCGTGACTCATTTTCCAATTGAAGGCTTTGGTTTGTGCTTTGAGACGCCAGAGGGGGGCTGCACTTCCAGAAAACCGGTGCGTTTTAGCACGTCTTGAATTGAACATCCAAAATCGGTGGCATCTGGAATCATTCATCACCCCTGAAAACATTGCCCGTGCCCCTTTGCACTTAGTGCTATAATGATGAATAGCCCCTCAAGACCCAGGTGAAAGAAGGGACATTTTCCCCAAGTTAGAGGCACTGAGGGTTTCAGGGGCTTTTCCAAGGGGCACAAGAGACCACAGCTGGATCATAACCCCCCAGTTTGCAAGTCCCAGTGTAGTACTGGATGCACAAGGCCATGTCCTTCCTTCACGGGACAGCGAGCGCCCACACATTTGGCACAGGGGTTACATCTGGTCACCTTTTTTGGCAGTTTTATTGAGGCAGATAAGATGTGAATGGGCTGTGGACACCGAATGAAGCCTTTGACCCAAGAACTCACATTTCAGTGGGGAAGATGCCTCCATGTTGTCCTGTCTACTGGTTTTGTAGGGAGAGGAGGGTTGATCGCTGGTTGTAATCTTTCCCTTTTTTCTCTGCTGCGAATGCCAGTGATCTAACCACCGTCTCTGATATCCTGTCCAGGGGATAAATAAACCGGTGCCCATTCCTAGCCGTGCATTTACAATGCAAGGTGCATGCATTAAAGGTGTGCGTGTATCTATTTTGATTACACAAGTTAGCAAAAGCAAAGGTTGGCGTTTTCACATTCAAGGCTAAGGTGCATGTTGCCTGTTTGTTTTTCCCCTCCGCTCAGATCTGAATCATGTCTCACCCATCCTGGCTCCCGCCGAAGAGCACTGGCGAGCCCGTTGGCCACGTGACTGCACGAATGGAGACCACGCATGCTTTCGGGACCCCCAGCCTCTCGGTGTCCTCCCAGCAGATGCCGAAGAAGTTTGCCCCTGTTGTTGCTCCGAAACCAAAGTACAATCCCTACAAGCCGCCAGGAGGGGATGGTAAGAGACTCTTGGGAGAGAGTGGGAAGGGCAGGGGGTTCTCCATGTTGAGGCTCGATGAGGTGAGATGCAAAACCCTGCGCCACCATAGGCGCGTCTCAGCACGGGGTAAATGGTCTGCATCCAAGTTATTGACCTCAACCCTGATATAACACGACCTTGAGTTGCTCTTGATTGGTGAGCCTTGATTTATCCGCTTTAAGAGCAATTCAGATGAAAAGAAACTTAAGGTCTTTCTTGCAGGCGTTCCTTCCAGCCATCCCAACTTCAAATAAATAGCATCCGCATGGGTCCCTTTTTCTTTTCTTCTGACATCACATCCCAAAGGCCAGCGCTTCCCATGGTGTTCATTCACTAGGCGTGCGGCAGCTCGGAGGGGCCCAAAGGCATAGCACGCCAAAGATTAGTGACGGGGAGGACTGAGGGCTTTTCGTGTAGATGCCGCGTAAGTACTTAGCACAGGTGATGCAGAATCTGGGACACGGAGGGATTAGGGTGGGTGTTGGCAGAACCGCTCTGCAAACACTTGCTGGATTAATTCAGCATTTCTACACCCCCATTCCCTTACTGACACACATTTCAGAACACGCAGCATTTTAATCCGGTAATTACCGTATTGTCTGGCATACAATACACCCCCACAATAAAATGCATGCATTATTTTTGAAAGTGGGGGAGGCAGACTTCCCTTGCAGTAATATAACTGAGTAGCAGCAGCTAGGAAGCTGTCTGGTTCCCATGCAGAGTTACTTTTGCTTTCACCCAGGAGTCACTCTAGCAGCGCGAACTGCTTTTACCATAATTCTTTGCTTATGATTTTCATTCTAATTTTCAGGAGCTGTTTTTAAAAGAAAACAAAAATGTGTTGTGTGTGAGAAAATGGGGTGTTTTGTATCCAAACAATACAGCCTGTGTCTGTAACACGTTGGCACTTTATATAAACCTTCTTTAAATAGCGTCCGTGAGAAGTAATGTTCTCTCACGTTCAGTCAGACCGGAAGAGGACCGTGGTGCTCTAGTGCAGGAAAGCGAAACCTCAGATTGGAAATATTTGTCCATCACTGTTTGCTATGGAATAATACATCCTTGAAGGCACTTAAAAGTTCAGGGTGCCCAGCACATTGGAGGAGACCATTTTTTTCCCTCCAGAATCGGGTCCATGCCTTACCTGACTTTGTGCCTTTAGAGGTCACGCGGTCACTTTGCAAGTCTTGACGGCGAGCGGTGGCAGGGATCACTATTCAGGGAACAGCTTAGTGATTTGACGTCGTCTCTGCAGCTTAAACTAATCCACTTTCAAAAGGTGACACGGAGGCTCGCTGTATTGCTGCTAGTTCATGTCAGCAGCCAGTCCAAACCCATTAGCCCAATCATATATAAACATAAGAACATTAGACTGCTGGGATCCGGGAGAGACGGGGGGACAATATTTAGCCCATCACGCTTCATTCCCTTTTTATTGCTTCATCTTCTCCTCGATGCTCTCTAATTGTTTCTTCGGTGACCGCTGTTGTTCTTTTGCTTCAGCAATGGAGCCTGGGAGACCATTGCAAGTGTTGATGGTTCCCCGTGCAAACCAGCACGCCTAGTCATCATGCCTGGATTTTTCTTTCCGTCTCCCGCGGGCCTCCCTTCTTGCTAGCTGAAGAATGGGGACCATGGGAGCCGTGGCTGCTGTGTGTCCTCTGATTATTTCGACACCCCCGTTCCCCGTCCTCAAACTCACATTTACTTTATTTTCTTGAGCTTTGCTAGGAGCTCACTGAGCAGTTATTTGTCTAATGCAATGGCTCTCAGTCTTAGACTCAAGGCACCCCTGGATAGACTTGAAGGAAAATGTCAGTGTTTAGTTTTCACTTTGTTTGGCTACAGAAAAAATAATAGAGCATTTTTTTTTTCCTATTGCAAAAAACCCACAGCTATGGATTCCTAGTAGAAATCTCTGGGTTTATCTTGCGAACGGTGTTTGCACACCTAGTGCCGATGTAGTGTGGTACCCTTATAAGGATCCCAGGACACCCGCGGGGTGCCGGGGCGCTCCAGTTGCAAATCACTGCTTCGATGCAAAAGGGGGTACTCAGACTGGCAGAAAGAGGACCCAGAATAGTTCTGGCTGTATCGGGGGTCCCACAAACCCTTCCTGCCTGATCCATGCTGTGAAAGTCAGTTGACCACTAGAAGGAGACGGTATCAGCAAGTTTTTTTCCGGGACGGCAGGAAATGCTGCTTTCCGTGCTTGCTCCAGGCTATTCCTTCTGTATCATTTGGGGAGCATCAGCTGCAGGGTTTTGGCCTCGCATGTCAGGGGCCTAAACTGTGTCTCCCTTGGAGGCTCACGCTGCGTTTCCCCATGGCACAATGCATAGTTCAGGTGAAAGGTTTGGACAACAGGGCCCAGATCTGTCTTCTGCAGCCACCCCATTTTCGGGCTTGCTCGTCCGAGCGCTGGCACTTAGCGTTGACTCTCTGCGAGGTGCGTAGTCCTGCTCATTAAATGCCGGGAGCCTTTTTGGGGTCACAGCCTTAGTGCGGGACTAAGAGGGGTAGTCCTGCCGGTGTTGTGGCCCCTGGTTGCCTCCCAGTTGCATCTTGGGCTTGCTCATCCTGCATACGGGTGCTGCTTTCAAATGGGGGGGCAAACTCATCTGGCCCTGTGGGCCAGATCCAGGGCATGGGGACGGTCCACAGGCCAGATCCAGAGGATGAAGCCGGGTCATCTGGCCTGCGGGGTTGCCTGCGAAGCCCACAGTTTGGTGGTGGGAGCAGCTTTGGCTGCTGCGGTTTCAAGAACCACAGCAATCAACACTGCGGCCACCAAATTTCCAGCCCTGCAGGCCAGGCGCCACGGCTCCATGCCCAGGATCTGGCCTGTGGCAACCCTGGTTTTGCTGTTACTTGCACGTGTCCTCCCCCCTCCAACCTACCTTTCTTTCCTTCCCAAGTAAAAAGCCTTGGGGGTGCAGGGAGAGCTCTTACAAGATATCAAGCAGAAATAAGCATTAAAGAAAATAAGTATTTGAAGGATTTAAAAGGAAAAAAAAGATAGAAGCTGCCAGTGGTTTTGGAAATATCACTGTAATTTGACTGGAAGCAATTAAGATGTGTGCGTCTGTAGGCTGCATAAGCGCGAGTGTTTCCCTCCAGCCTGGGCTGCTGTTTGGTACGTGGGCTTCTTCTGCGTTTTCAACCGAACGTGTTTGTTCAGCGGGACCGGTTCGACGAGGGATGGCGAAGGGCCACAGCAGTCACACCCGGGGTCTGCTTTTCTGCAGTGCTTAGCTCCTTATTGCAACACGGTTTCCCAAAGGGAGCCAGTACCTTGCACAGAGAAACCCTTTGGAAAATGGCACCGCTTCATTTAAATGCCGTCTGGGCAGCCATCTCCCTGCACCGACACCCGGCCGTTGTTCTGCTGGGTTTCGTTTCTCTGAGCAGGTGTGGGAACGTGTCTGCTCCTAGGCCAGGCTGTTTCTCGGTGGAGGATTCCTGTTATAAAAGCTGGGAGCGTGGACAGAGATCACCCCTTCATGTCACGTTCTCATGGGTAGTGCGTTATCCCCACATCCCTTTTTCTTTGCGCTGCGTAGCATGAAAACTCAGTACACTTTTCATTGCTGAAACCTAACAGAATGGCTCTGTGATCTTCAGGCTTTCTTCGGTGATTATTTCCCCTCGCCCCATTGCTGCCCAGCTGAGTGCCCCTTAGGTTACCCTTGGAGGGTTTGAAGTCAAACCCTTGGCTGGGATGATGGAGTTGGGGCTGGTCCTGCTTGGAGCACGGGTTGGACTAGATGTGACCTTGTGAGGGCCCCTCCAACCTGAATTTTCTATGATCTATGATTTCCTGGCTACTGGTGCCTTGCTGCCACTTCTTTTCCCTTCCTAGTGTGTCTTTTGGCTGTGCAGCGCTTTGTCTCCTTGGCAGGGTACAGGACCGTGCAGAAGGCCGTTGGTTTGCACTAGGTGGCGTGATGAGGGTTGGAGGGGAAATCCAGTAGCTGAAGTCACCTGCATTGCAGAGTTCTGTCACATACCTGCACCACTGGGTCTTGGGTATATCTGAACCAGAGACATGTACCTGAAAGAAAAAAATAAAGTCCTCCTAGAAGCTGTACCATACGTAGTAGTGACCTTACTTGCCTTCCCACTGTGTTGGCCAGCTTCTAGTGTGTTTGCACTAGTTTATCTCAGTCTGCGGGTGGTCTCTGGGATGAATGGGTCATGATGGGTGGCGTCACGTGTTTGCAAATCATGGGGATGTTGTAAAGCATCAAAATTAGAAGATGTTAGGAGATGGTCTTCTCTTGAAAGGAAATAATTTTGCAATGCCACAAGGGCATCTAACCCATGTAAAACTGCTTGAACATATATCTACTTGTGTGTTACTACCTGTATTTAACGTGCCCTAACTTTAGTAGCATGCCTATGGCTTGCAACCTGTGCAAGTGAACGTGTGACACCCTTTTTGGTCATTTGAATCCTGATTCTTGCCTTGCATACCCTGTGGAGAGCTGAAGCAACTCCTGTGGTGTTATGCTGCTCTCAGGGGACCGATGGCATAGATACCCTCCTGCGTCTCACGGGAGTAAGCAGGAACATCTTTGCAAATACGTCTCCATAATTGCCAAGGTCAGGCTCTTTACAGATGTGCTGACCTCAGGTGTTCCCAACCTCAGAAATCTCCCCAAACCCTAAAATGGGCTTAAAATGAATGTAAATTTAAATATTATGCGTTTGGCGTCTGTGTGTGTTCCTGACCCTGTAGCCTTTTGGGTTCAAACAAAACCGAGAAACTTTTATTGAGGAGAACAAACTTCAGTACCATGACTCCAGCTTCTGCAGCTTTCAGGGAGAAAGGCCCAGTATTGTGAGACACAGCAGTACGGCCCTGACGGTTGGCAGAGCTGTGTGAACATGAATTGGGCCAAGCCCTTGGGCTCCAGCGGTGCGTCTGTGTTGTTCGGGAGGGAAGGCACATAACCACCTAATGTGTTGCTCTC